AATCCCAAATTTTTAATGTCTGGTTTTTGACCCACTGCAATAGCAGGAGGTTAAATTTTTACAGAGGCACAGAGGCAGCTCCAAGCAGAGACCAGCAAGGACGGAAAAGAGGGTTCTCAACCCTAAACTCACAGAGATTTCAGGAAAAATGGGCCAGAAGGAGGGGAAAGGGAAGATGCAGAGTGAAGAAATCATGGGAGAGGAGGCTGTTGATGGGGATCTGAAGGCAGAGTTGGCAGCTTGGGAAGCTGTGTGAAACCTCAGGCTTCCCTCCAGCCAAGGGAAAAAAACTGAATTATTGGGGTACCCAGGGCAGGGTCTGCAGGCTTTTCCAGCCCCAAGAAAGTTGAATCCCATAAAATCTTTGGAGGAGTCCTCACTTTTTGCTCTGTGTTTCAAAAGTGCCTCTTCCTTTTTCATTGCAAACACTTCCTGAAGTGGTTCTGTGCCATCTACAGATGGGGAAGCTGAGGCACAGAGGAGCCCACCTGCCCAAGGCCAGGGAGAAAATGCCCCACAGTGCTCACACGCTCCAGGCTGGGGAGCAGGGATGCATTTCCCTGGGGTACAACCCAAACCCCCTGAATGGCACAGCATCACCCACAGCATCACCCACAGCATCACCCACATCACCCACAGCATCACCCACATCACCCACAGCATCACCCACATCACCCACAGCATCACCCACAGCACCCACAGCATCACCCACAGCATCACCCACATCACCCACAGCATCACCCACATCACCCACAGCATCACCCACATCACCCACAGCATCACCCACTGCCCGCTCCACACATGGCTCCTTCCTTGTACCCAGCCCAAGAGCAAACTCAGCTTTCTGCAAACACAGAAAACACTTTGCAAAGTGTGTGTTCATCCCTTCCATCCATCCTCCCTCCCAGCCTTTAGCTTCCCGTGGAGCCACAACCCGAGCACAGCCCCTGCTGCAAGCCCCGAGGCCGCTGCCCAGCCTTCGGTGCTTCCACCGTGACAAACCCCAGAGGATTTTCCTCATCTGTCCGTGGTGGTGCTGTGAGGGAAGCAAAGCAAAGCAGCTGTGCTGGGCAGCCTCCGAATAAAGCTGGCTGTGCTTTGCAGCCTTGCTGGGGCGAGCAGAGGGGGCGATGGGCTCATGTTCCCCACAAACCACACATCCAAAGCCAGCCCGCCCAGCCAGGGGGTTCAGAGACGTTAAAAATGAAAAGCAACCACTGGAGCAAAGCATCAGAGCTCCAACACGCTCAGAAAAGCATCGGAATCACAAGTCTGAAGGAAATGAATCATTCCTAAACAAAGGCAGCAGCGCCTGCTGCCGTCGGTGCGGCTGAGCCGGGGGTCTCACAATGAGTGTGCAGAGCCAGCAGAGAACGGCTGCTCCCACCCCGAGCAGTGATCAGGGAGCATTCCAGCTTCTCCTGACTCCAGTGAGGAGCTGAAGGAGATGGGAGACATGTTCTAATTTATTTGAGCATGTCTTGGTTCATAAGGAGGAGAAAAGTGACGGTGCCCTGCGGGGATCTTCATGCGGGGAGGTTTCCCCGAGCATCCTCAGCACTGAAAATTCAGGCTGTGAGCGGTGATGAGACACAGACAGAGCCTGAGCCCTGTGGGTGTCAGAGCAGCACGTTAATCGTGGAAGGAAAAGCACAGAGAGGCTCACGGGGTTTGTGTTTGTGGTGAGTTTTGCAGAGCAGGGGATAAAAGGGCTGCAGGCAGGACCCCGCACAGATCCCTCTTCCCCACGCAGGGTTTTCAGTAGCAAAATCTGGGATTCCCTGAGAGACAAAAGCAGGAGCCCTGACGCCTTCCCGGAGCAGCCAACAGAGGGACAAACACCCCTGGGACAGGGACACCATCACCCAAGGACGGAGTGAAAGTCTCGCTTGTACCCCAGGCTCAGCCACAGGAGAGCTTTGCCTGGAGCAAGAGCTGGGGGGAGCTGGGAGATGGGGCTGGGGCTGCTCTGCAGGGATCCCAAATGTGTCCTTCCCTCAGGCACAGACTCCTCCTGGTGCCGCTCTCATTTCTGACCTCAGAAACCCCCACTCACCACCCCCTGGAATGGCTGGAACACCCTCCACTGCTGGACAGGCGATTCCCAGCTAAGACGAGGCACCTCAGGGCACCCAAAATATCCCCCAAATCCTCCTCAAGGTGGCGATGGCCACGGCCCCGGGGCTGTTTCCAAGGAAAAGAAGCACACGCTTCCATCCCTCCATGCTCAGTGCCCACCTCTGGCACGGGGCGAGGGCTGATGCCACCCTGCACCCGGCGGGATTGCCCGGACCTCAGCCATGCAAACAGCACCCAGGGAAAGGGGGAAAGGCAGCAACATCCCATCCTTAACACATCCTCCAGCTGTACAACACCCCAAAGCCGAGCCAAGGGCCAGTCGTGCTGCAGGGAGGGTGCAGGGGAGCAGCACCAGCTCCGTAGGAGTGACAGTTCCTGGGATATGGCCCTGCCCACAGCAGCCTGTAACCATCGAATCCTCAGATCCTTTGGGTTGGAAGGGGCCTAAGAGATAATCCATGACAAAGATCATATCATAGCCAGAAATCCCTTATTTCCCTGCTCCCATACGACTGCCCTTGCACGAGGATGCCGGGGCACTGAGCTCTCCCTCCAGGTACACACAGAAGAGACTGAAGGGCAGGATAAGGCACAGTTAAACCCTGTTTGCACTCCCAGCTTTGCAGCCTACCCAGAGATCGTTTGCTAAAGCATTTAAAAGCAGGGAAAGCCAAGCCCTGCTTCCCTGCGGCGGCGGTGGAGCCTCCGTGTGCTCGCACCAAGACATGCATATTTTAAAAGCTTGGCAGGAGAGGGCTCCAAACTACACAATTAAACAGATTTTACACACAACGCTCCCAAGCACTGCCAAACACCCTTTCCTTGTGCAACATCCCTGCAGGAGAGACCCCTTCGGAGCAATGACCCTGGCTGGCTCCCTCCATTCTGCCGGGGAAAGCGATTGTCTGCCCTTTGCCGCTGCTTAATTGCCCATAAACTGGCCATTAAAAACAAAACCGGCTTCTTTTGTCAAGGGACGGAGCAGGAACAATTGCCTGGGAGGAAATTTAACCCTCCCGGAGGAAAGAGGATATCTCCAGCTCTTGTCTGTGTCCACACGTGGGGTGGGATGGATACTGCTCTGCTCCGGCCACCCCAAGCACCCGAAGGGCATCTATTGTGCTGGAGAACAACAGAACCTTTTGAAGGAGCTCAGGCCTGAAAACACACAAAAAAGAGGGCAAAGAAGCAGGAGAAAAAGGTGATGGTGTCAAAGTAGCAAGTGGAGGGGTCAGGGGTGAGGCTGCTGCACCCCCCAGCACCAAGGGTGTGTTTCAAGGTGTTTCTCTGGGCTGAAACAGGGAAACAGGAAAATACGGGCAGAGGGAAAAGGAAACTGTCAGGACTCTGTGAAAACAGAAAACAGGAGGTACAAGGTTCTACAGCACCCAGTGCCCCTGTGTGGGGGCTGGAACAAGATGTTCTTTAAGGTTGCTTTCAACCCAAACCTTTTCTGTGATAAATTAAAGGCATCCACGGAGGCAGCTCCAGCCTCCCAGGGCTGCACCCCTGGGGTGGGAGCTGCCTCTTCCATCCTCGCTCCCATCCTTCACCGTCACCGTGTCTCTCGGGTGACAGCAACAAAGGACAGGGGACGGGGAGGACATCGCAGCAGAGCCACACTGGGACTGCCCAGAGCTGCGGGGACCCTGCTCCCCTGCTCCCCTGCTCCCCTGCTCCTCTGCTCCCCTGCTCCCCTGCTCCCCTGCTCCCCTGCTCCCCTGCTCTTGGCGTGCTGGGAAGCATCAGCCAGGAGCTCGTGGTAATGCCTTTTCCTCCATTTAGTGTAAAAGCCGAGTCTTTGGCTCACAGACAGCAGCTCCGCTAACGCAGATCTTCCAGTGCTGCCCCTCAAGCACATCAGGGACAGGTGAGTCCAGCACAACTGAGGCTCCTCTGGAGCTCCCCAGGGGCTGCTGAAACCCTGCCTTGTCCTAATGGGGCACCCGGCAGGAGAGCAGAGCCACTTAAATAACTGTTGGCTGTGGAGAGCCCAGTGTTTCGGGGATCTCTCCAATTCCTGCCACAACATCTGCAGCAGCGGTTCCAGAGAAGCCTCAGACCACGGAACAGAAAGTATTTATCAGAGTCACTGGTTGGTTTGGGTTGGAACAGATCTTAAAGATCATCCAGATCCAGTTCCCTGCCATGGGACACCTTCCACTAGAGCAGCTGGCTCGAGTGGCTCAGTTTCTCTCAGTGGATGGTACCCAGGAGACAGCAGAGAGGGAAGATGCAGAGAGGGCAGAACATCCAAAGGATATCTCCAGTTTTCCACTTCTTGCGATCTAAAAGACAGAGCAGCAGTGTATTTTTGTCTTTCAGTGATAACACTCAGTGCTGAAAAAAAAAGGTATTTTTCTGAACGTGAGAAAGGGGAAGTTTCGGTCAGATATTGATTGCCCAGAGCAGCTGTGGCTGCCCCTGGATCCCTGGAAGTGTCCAAAGCCAGGTTGGATGGGGTTTGGAGCAACCTGGAATAGTGGGAGGTGTCCCTGTCCATGGCAGGTGTGGAACTGGATGATCCTTAAGGTCTCTTTCCACCAAAACCATTCTGGAATTCTACCAGAGCCAAACTGCCTTTTACCCCAGTGGGTGGAGTGGTTCCCTTGTCACCACTCCTATAAAGCATCTTTTACTGTCAATAAAATCCCTTTGAAACTACTCTGCTCCTACAAAATCAAGCAAGGAGGAGTCAGAAAAACAAACCAACAGTCTGCAAGGTCTCTGCTTATTTCAGATAACAGAGAAACTGAAAATTGTTCTGTGCCATTTCCAGGAGAACATGTGGTTTCCGTACCCTGTGCAGCTGCCATGGGGAAAACACCAACCCAGAACCTATCTGCAAACTCTCCTGAGTGCAATGTTTCCTCTGCTCTTAAACTCAAACCCTCCTTTTAGGAATAGGCATGAGGGAAAGCTTTAATAACAATAAAATTTAATAACAGTAAAACTTAATAACAATAAAAAGGGAGAGCTCATAGGCAGAAATGACATTTTGGCCCACTGGCAGCCTGGGGAAAAGGCAAACTGAGGTGTTCCCAGTTATCCCACACAAGGAATCCCGGTTCTCCTGGACAAGGGATCTCAGGTTTGTAACTTCCCATGAAGTTCCAGAGCATCTACCTAATAAAGATCATTCTCTTGCACCCTCAGCTGATGAAAATCCTGGTAGCTCCAATAAAACCATCGCACCCAGCAGCCAAGGAGGGGCTCTGATGTTTTTCTTGGGTTTATTGACTGTGGCTAAGGGAAGGTGCTACAAACCATCCAAATACTTCTGAGTCTCGGAAAAATCCCAACTAAACTCCAATTTTGGCATGGCCAGCATCTCTCAGGACGAGGCCCTCTCTCCACAGCCTTGGTGTGGAGGAACCTTGGGAAACCTTGCACAGGTTGGGGCTAAATTTCTCTTTGCTGTAGGTATTTAACAGCATCCCTGTCCCATGTGCTACCTCAAAGGAATTTCCCTTTTTTAACCCAAAATCCAGCAAAACTGAGCAGAGCTGAAGCCAAAGCTCTCGAGGCCAAGCTGCTTTTGGCTTGTGTCGATGGCAGGGGTTGGATGGGAGCACTAAACCACTGAAATCACCTTTTTAGCAAAGAAGTGAAGCAATCCAGCTGCAGAGGAGCAGCAGGGTTTTCCTCCTCCCACAGCACTAAAAAGCAAATACAATCAGAGGAGCTACAGGATGTGATCCCACTTTATCTCACATGTATAAAAATACCAGAGAGTGGCAGGATAAGCTGGAATGAAAGTAATAATAAAAGTAAGCAGTGGGAAGCATGGAGTTTGTCCAAAAGAACCAGAACATTATGACTCCATTGAACTGTCCCCCGTGCAAAGCTCACCTGATCCCATCAGATGTCCCACGGCCCCTGGCGCACGTGTGAAGATGAATTTTCCCCGGCGGGATTTTTGGTTATTTTTCAATCCTGTTTTTTACTGTCCCCCTTGTTTCACAAAGCTGCCGAGGTTCCCCGGCCAAGCTTCCCGGCAGCTGCTCGGTGCCAGCTCCCACTGGCTTTGGGGTTGTTCTCGGTGGAGCAGGATGAACCTCCATCCCCAGGTTCCTCTGCCAAGGTGAGGAACAGGTGGATCTGGGGGTGTTTATTGCCTGTGGATGCTTTGTTGGGTACACGGGAGGAGCAGCGGGACTGGAACCAGGAAGGGGGTGCAGAGCCACGATGGAGGAGCTGGAACCATCTGGAAAGGCTTTTTGCGGGAAGAGCAAGGACCAAGGGGGATGGGAGAAGGGATGCCATGACAACCTTTGGGGGTTTCCCAGGAAACCATGGTCACCATGGCAACTGCATCACTCCGGTCGGAATTAGTGACTTCCGCTGGAAGGCGTGTTCACCACTTTAATCTTCTGGTGATAAGCGGCTGCATCTCTTCCAAAGGCATTGCAAAAAGAGGAGGAAATATCCCTTTGTCTCCAGCTGGGTGGGTCGGAGGCTCCCAGCCATGGCCCATCGTGGATCCTGCTCCATGTCGACACCACTCCCTGCTCCCAAAAACATTCCAGTCTGCGACTCCTCTCCCTCCCCCTGCACACATCCCTGCTGCACCGCCACAAACTTGACATTGGAGGAAATAATTCCGTCAGGTTACAGGGGAAGGGAATCCAGAATAGAAAACGAAGGCTTAGGGGATTCTTTTTCTATTTAAACCAGTATTGATTGCACTCGGTCTCTGACCAGATTAGAATTTCATAAATTATCTAATGGGGAGAAAAAGGGAATCTGGGATGTGCCCATAATGGCACATCACATGTTTCAATATTAAGCATCATTTAACGATGTGGTAACAGAGACTCTCTGCAGAATTAAATGGTTATTTCCTCCCAGCCCCCTCCCAGTACGCTCTGCCTCATGTTTTCCTCATTCCTCCACCCAGTCCAGGTTGGTTAATCCAATAAATTACTTCATGTGATGGAAGGGAGATCGGCTACACACTGCCCTTAGGGAAAGGGGGGGAATTCGGGAGCAAAGCAAGAGGTTCCCCAAAAGCCCAAAAAGCAAAGCAGCCCTGCAACACGTTGCAGAACAAACACCTGTTTTAACAGTGAGTGTGGTTTGTCTTCATCTTCCTTCTCTTTACCCTTTAGCTGTCCTCTTCTCCAGAGAATTTTAAATCCTTTTACTTTTGGATCTTTAGAAAGGAAGGATCTAAAAAAATAAAAGTATAAAAACGAGGGCACACACAGACCGACGATGGTGCATGTTCCACACAACACCGACACACAGTCACTTTGCATTATTATTGGTATTATTATTGGTATCGTTTTACCGCGTCCTCAGATTTTGTTGCTGTTTGTTTGGTTTGGGTTTGTTTTAAACATCCGTAAAGATCTTTTTGATGTTCACACAGTTGGGATTGTTTGTGGTTGTGCAGTTGCCTGCTTTAAAGGCAGCCTGTTTGAATGCACTGTGATTGATCCCCCCTTCCTCGATCACCATGTACTCGGACTTGCTGAGGGTGGAATTGCTGCGAGCCTTCTTCATCTCCTCGCTGGACGAGAGGTGCTGGCAGCTCCCGACGTGCATGTACTGGGCTTGTTCCTCACCTTCCGTCTCCCGGTGGTAGAAATAGTTGAAATTGGAGACGATGACGGGCACGGGCAGGGCGATGGTCAGCACCCCCGCGATGGCGCACAGAGACCCCACGATCTTGCCTCCAATGGTGATGGGGTGCATGTCCCCATAGCCCACGGTGGTCATGGTGACCACGGCCCACCAGAAGGCATCGGGGATGCTACTGAACCCCGAGCTGGGGTCATCGGCCTCCGCGAAGTAAACGGCGCTGGAGAAGAGGATGACGCCGATGAAGAGGAAGAAGATGAGCAAGCCCAGCTCCCGCATGCTGGCCTTGAGGGTCTGTCCCAGGATCTGCAGCCCCTTGGAGTGCCGGGAGAGCTTGAAGATGCGGAAGACCCTGACGAGGCGGATGACTCTGAGGATGGCCAAGGACATGGCTTGCTGGCCATTGCCTTGCCGCTCAGCCAGCTCCGTGCCCAGCGTGATGAAGTAGGGGATGATGGCCACGATGTCAATGATGTTCATGATGTTCTTGGAGAAGGTGGCCTTGCTGGGGCAGGCAAAGAAACGGACCAGCAGCTCAAAGGAGAACCAGATGATGCACAAAGTCTCCACCACAAAGAAAGGGTCAGTGAAGGATGACACCATGGAAGCAGCCGAGGATGAGGAGTTGGTGAAGACGTCAGGTGGGAGAGGGCCACCCCCTGTCCCGAAGGTCCCCCCGGTTCCCTCATAGTCGTGGTCATCCCTGAATTCGGGCAGGGTCTCCAGACAGAAGATGACAATGGAGATAAGGATGACCAGGACAGAGACAATGGCAATGCCTCGGGCCGGCCCAGAGCTCTCGGGGTACTCGAAGAGGAGCCACACCTGGCGCTGAAACTCCTTCTCAGGAAGTGGCCGCTGCTCCTCCCGAATGAAACCCTCATCCTCCCGAAACTTCTCCATGGCCTCCTCCCCCAGCTGGTAGAAGCGGATCTCCTCGGAGAAGATGTCGATGGGGACGTTGACGGGACGCCGGATGCGCCCGCCCGACTGGTAGTAGTAGAGGATGGCGTCGAAGCTGGGACGGTTACGGTCGAAAAAATACTCATTGCGGAGGGGGTCGAAGTAGCGCATCCTCTTCCGGGGGTCCCCCAGCAGCGTCTCGGGGAACTGCGCCAGGGTCTTGAGCTGGGTCTCGAAGCGCAGCCCCGAGATGTTGATGACCACGCGCTCGCAGCACTCGTGCTCCCCGCTGCCCGCGGGCTGCCCGGCGGGCACGGCCGGCGCCGGGGGCTGATCGTAGCGGTCCCCCCCGAGCAGCGCAGGAGGATGCTGGGGCTCCTCCAGCAAAGGGTCCCCGCCGCCGCCGCCTCCCACCACGGTCATGCTGCCTTCCTCCCCTTCTTCGCCCTCTTCCTCCT